ACTTGATCAAATGATGATTGTGGCTTCAAAATAAGATGTTGACCAAAAATTTTGACTTTTGACTGCCAAATGACCATTTTACCCCTGCAGTTGGTTGTGGAACAACTAGGGCTTTTGACTGTGCAAACTGGCATTATGAGCTTTGAAACTTGGCATATGGATGCTTGGCAATGTGTATAGGCATATGTGACTTGATTGAGCCCTTGAAAACCTCAACTTCCTTGAAGGAACCAAAACCCTAATTTGACTGGCTTAGGAGGATGTTTGAACTGTGCAACCCTTGAGTAGACTTGAGCAAATTGAGATGATGCTTGCCAAAACTTTGAAGGATATGGGAGGGCAAATTTTGGGGTACAACACATCCCTACAAGAGGGTATCACTTCCCAAAATCCCCAGTCGGTTACCTTCATCTTCATAATGCCCAGCAAAATCAATACACCTTGTCATTCTAAACCTAGTTCTCGTCTGGTTATCGGTTTCTGTTTGACAAATAAAGTCTCTAAACACTCGTCTGTGTCAACTCCAAAACACTCATCTGTGTCAACTCCTAAACACTCATTCGTGTCAGTCATACAAACCCTCGTCCGTGTTAAATCCTTTCCTTGATACTCGTCTGTATCTTCTTCCGATACCCGTCCGTATTAACTCAAACACTCATCCATGTTTAACATTTATTTGATACCCGTACGCATATTCTTTTGATACTCATCCGTATCTTCTTTTAATACCCGTCTGTATTGATTCAAACACTCGTTCATGTTTAAACTTTCCTTGATACCCGTCCGTATATATTTTTTTCAATACCCGTCCGTATAAATTCAAACACTTGTCTGTGTTTAACCTTTCCTTGATACTCGTTCGAATCTTCTTTTGACACTCGTCCGTATTGATTCAAACACTCGTCCATATTTAACCTTTCTTTGATACTCGTCAGTATCGATTCAAACACTCGTTTGTATTATACCTTCCTTGTATTGGCATCATGCTATGTTACAAGTCCGATCTTTTCCTTGTATTGGCATCATGCTACGTTACAAGTTTGATCTCTTCCTTGTATTGGCATCATGCTACGTTACAAGTTCGATCTTTTCCTTGTATTGTCATCGTGCTACGTAATAAGTTCGATCTCTTCCTTGTATTGGCATCATGCTAAGTTACAAGTCCGATATCTTCCTTGTATTGACATCACACTACATTACAAGCCCGATGTCTTCCTTGTATTGGCATCATGCTACGTTATAAGTCTAATTTCTCCCTTGTTTTGGCATCATGCTACGTTACAAGCTCGGTCTCTTCCTTGTATTGGCATCACACTATGTTACAAGCCCGATCTCTTCCTTGTATTGGTATCATGCTATGTTACAAGTATGATCTCTCCCTTGTATTGGCATCACGCTATGTTACAAGCCCGATCTCTTCCTTGTATTGGCATCACGCTACGTTACAAGCCTAATCTCTTCCTTGTATTGGCATAATGCTATGTTACAAGTCTGATCTCTCCCTTGTATTGGCATCAAGCTACATTACAAGATCGATCTCTTCCTTGTATTGGCATCATGCTACATTACAAGTCCGATCTCTTCCTTTTATTGGCATCATGCTACGTTACAAGCCTGATCTCTTCCTTGTATTGGCATCCTGCTACGTTACAATCCCGATCTCTTCCTTATATTGGCATCATGCTACGTTACAAGACCGATATCTTCCTTGTATTGGCATCATGCTACGTTACAGGTTTGATCTCTTCCTTGTAATGGCATCATGCTACGTTACGAGACCGATCTCTTCCTTGTATTGGTATCACTCTACGTTACAAGTCCAATCTCTTCCTTGTATTGGCATCATGCTACGTTACAAGTTGATCTCTCCCTTGTATTGGCATCATGCTACGTTACAAGCCCGATCTTTTGCTTGTATTGGCATCATGCTACATTATAAGCCCGACCTCTTCTTTGTATTGGCATCATGCTACGTTATAAGTCTGATCTCTCCCTTTTATTGGCATCATGCTATGTTACAAGCCCGATCTCTTCCTTGTATTAGCATCACGCTACGTTACGAGTCTGGTCTCTTTCCTGTATTGGCATCATGTTATGTTACAAGACCAATCTCTTCCTTGTATTGGCATCATGCTACGTTACAAGATCGATCTCTTCCTTGTATTGGCATCATGCTACGTTCCAAGCCCGATCTCTTCCTTGTATTGGCATCATACTATTTTACAAGTCCGATCTCTTTCTTGTATTGGCATCATGCTACGTTACAAGCCAAATCTCTTCCTTGTATTAACATCATGCTACATTACAAGCCCGATATCTTCCTTTTATTAGCATCATGCTACATTACATGAATGATCTCTTCCTTGTATTGGTATCATGCTACGTTACAAGCCCGATCTCTTCCTTGTATTGGCATTATGCTACGTTACAAGTCCGATCTCTTCCTTGTATTGGCATTATGCTACATTTCAGGACTGGTCTCTTCCTTATATTCGTATCATGCTACGTTACAAGTTTGATCTCTTCCTTGTATTGGCATCATGCTACGTTACAAGTCTGATCTCTCCATTGTATTGGCATCATACTACGTTACAAGCCTAGTATCTTCCTTGTATTGGCATCATGCTACATTACAAGCCCGATCTCTTTCTTGTATTGGCATCATGCTACGTTACAAGTATGATCTCTCTTTTGTATTGGCATCATGCTACGTTACAAGCCCAATCTCTTCCTTGTATTGGCATCACGCTACGTTACGAGCCCGGTCTCTTCCTTGTATTGACATTATGCTATGTTACAAGACCAATCTCTTCCTTGTATTGGCATCATGCTATGTTACAAGATCGATATCTTCCTTGTATTGACATCATGCTACGTTACAAGCCCGATCTCTTCCTTGTATTGGCATCATGCTATGTTACAAGTCCGATCTCTTTCTTGTATTGGCATCATGCTATGTTACAAGCCCGATCTCTTCCTTGTATTGACATCATGCTACGTTACAAGCCCAATATCTTCCTTGTATTGGCATCATGCTACGTTACAGGACCAATCTCTTCCTTGTATTAGCATTATGCTACGTTACAAGCCCAATCTCTTCCTTGTATTGGCATCATGCTATGTTACAAGCCCGGTCTCTTCCTTGTATTGGCATCATGCTACGTTATAAGACCGATCTCTTCCTTTTATTAGCATCACACTATGTTACACGTCCGGTATCTTCCTTGTATTGGCATTACGCTATGTTACAAGTCTGATCTCTTCCTTGTATTGGCATCAAGCTACGCTACAAGTCTGATCTCTTCCTTGTATTGGCATCATGCCACGTTACAAGTCTTCTCTGTCCTTGTGTTTACATCATGCTACCTTCCAACACTCGTCGTGTCAGCTTTTAAATACTCGTCATGTCAATTTCAAAACACTCGTCATTATCAACTTTTAAACACTCATCGTGTCAGTTTTCAAGTACTCTTCGTGTCGGTTTCTAAATCTGTTTCGACACCGTTGCCATGTTACGAGCAATCACCTTCCATGTTCATCCTTAAACCATTATCACCAAGAAAATAAGAAATTATTTCCCCAGCGGATATCAAAAAAAGAAAACAACAAAAAAATAAATAAACATTCACACTTTTTTCAGAACAAATTTTTGGCATTGATATTTAATCATTTTCTACCTTGAACTTCCGAAAGGCACGTGCCAATCATACTTTCAGGTTTAAGACGATTAAATAGGGGCAGCTGTAATACCCCAAATTTTTCCTACCTTCTCACTTTTATCTGGCTTATGGATTTTGCGTTTCTCATTCCATCTACATACCCTCCATTAGGTCATTTAACACATTATGCATCATCAATCAGTAAATTTGGCACAAGAACAAGGATCTTGAAATTAGGGTTTCTGTATGGCTTTGAGGCCCTTATCTTTATTCAAGATATTCAAGTCGTTTCCTCACTAGTCATGGTTGGAGATAGGGTGTTGATTCGTGGTTGTTGTGGACTTATTTCTTATAAGGCTACAAGGGTATATAACTCCAAGTTCATCAAGAGACACAATCATTTGTATCGAAGTTACTTCAAGAACTAAGTGCATTAGGATTGTGAATGCTAGGGTTTCATCAAGGATTCAAATAAAGATATTTTGAGCTAGAGCTTGGTTTCTTATCAATATCTCAGTGTCATTCATTCACCAAAGTGAATCTCAAAAGGATTAAGGTTCTTATCCATGGAATTTGAATGTGTTAATTCATCAATTGAGGTTTATTGTACTCACATGTTATACTATCTTGTTCATTATTCCTCCCATGTCTCGAGTTCCATGCTCATTTTCAAAGGATTCCTCAAGGCATGGTCACCGTGTTACAGGATATGATTTATGGATTCAAGACATCAACACTATTCTTTCAATTGATTGTTGCTTATAATGCCAGTTGATGAGGATTTAAGATTCGAAAATTATGGTTTCTCTGAGAAGTGAGAACTGATTGGAATTCATTCTTTGAAAGTATTCATTCAAGCTTTTTAATATGTTCAAAGTTAATTAACTGGATCAATGTTCTTAAGATGCAAACGTATTAAGATTAGTCATATGGATTTCTTGAGAGATAAGGAACAAATTATAAGACAAAGGCATCAAAGTTACAAAGGAATTCATTAAATTCACGGCCATGCCTTTCGTTCATCCACATCAATTCTTATTCCATATAATCATTCAAGTTCCAATCATGTTATCTAACATAATTTAAGGTTTCAATCAAGGTTAATCAAATCTCGTTCAAGTTCATTCAAAAGGCATATAAGTTATAATCCATTTTGCTTTACACTTTTGAATAGTTACATGAAGGAGAAGGAATTACTAGTCATTACAAAATACCATAACCTTACTATAATTTACATTACAGTTTCCAATATACCATTACACACATGGATGGAACTTTACACAACAATTAGAACCTATTCTAATCTCGACCATCCTCCATGTTTCAAGCCTTAACTGAATGTCATGCCAAGCCATACAAATCCATCTCCATGTCCATCCTCACCACTAAATGACATGCTTCATACGGCTCATTACAAAAACTGGACCTTGCATCCTGCACATAACCTGCATCAGTAAACAAAAGAATGGCCATGCAGGCATCAAAAATAGTCCAGAAAACCCTCTATCAAAGCTCTAACAAAAAAAAAATTCCAAACCGTTTTTAACAACTCATAACTGTCACAACCTTCTATCTGGCAACAGCCTGTAACTACCCCTAACCTATAACCAACTGTAACTAACTCTCACTCTTCTAACATAAATTCTAATTGTCCCTAACAGAAAAAAGCCAACCAAGCTATAACAGAATAACAAAAAAGGGGAATAGAAAATCAGAAATGAACCTTTCAACCTGCACTTTCTTCTCTCTTTGAATTAATCCGCTGCAACCTCAACCCTCATTTTCATTAACATCATCAATACCTCTTTGTTCAATTCTGCACCGTGTGAAATCCTACAATAATTATCACTATATTCACCCTCAATCTCACTGAACCATCATCATCCATCTTCTCCACACACATCAACCACCATCAATCTCCATCCTCTTCACTCTTCACCTTCGACCACAACACATTCATAACCATTATTTTCCCGTTCAACTCTCACCATTTCATCTTCCTTACACATTCAATCTCTCGCCCCTACAAGCACCTTCCAACTCTCTCAATATCGGGTACAACAACACTCACGAATCAATAATAGCAACAAACATCAACGATAATCGCAAACTGCACACACAGGGTTCACATCAAAGAAGATTCAGAAAGAGAGTAGAAGAAGAGCAGAGGGAGGAAGAAGAATTGACCAGAGAGATTAAATTAAGGAAAGAATTTGTGTATACCTGATATTTCTCAGGTCATCACCATTGTCGAAGCCGCGTCGGACAGACTCCGTTCGGTAAAATCTCAAAACCTCTAGATCGGTACTCTTCTTTTACTAGTTTTTGATAGTTATCATTGGCTCGGTGTCTATTCTCCCTCGAACTCTCATTGCCATCACTGGAACGTGAAATCCCTAAGTTACGGTTCCGATTGGAGCTTCAATTAAAGCCATTGTACCGACATAACATTGATTCGAAGTGAACGCTCAAAGAGACGGGGTTGCGGTGTTGAGGTTTACGATGGTAATCGACGGCAGTAGCTGCGGTGTAGTGTTGTTCTCTTTGCGATTACAGACTCATCTGATTAAGACGGAGGAAGGTTGAAGAAGTGTGAATGGTGGCGGACGAGACGATCGCGGTTGAGGAAGTGTGAGCGAAAAGAAGGTTGAGCTTGCCGTCTACGAAGAAGATGAAGAGAAGGAGTTTTGTTTTCGTCGCAGAATATTGTGTTTGGAGAAGTCCAATAGACTTCTTGAAACCCTAAAATCCCAAAATGACACCGTATCTTGCTATTTTCATTAAATTTTTTTAATTGTTTTAATAAATCTATTATTATTGATGCTGATAATTTTGAGAAAAGAGGACTTGGAGTTGCATGATTTGGTGATAGACTGAATGAGTAACGTTGGGCCATAAGTTGGATATGCACCCCCACATAGGCCTGTTTCACTCTTTTTTCTACACTTGCAGCACTGGAGCAAAAACTACTTATTGGATCTTTTTGGATGGGCCTAGCATCAGACCTGCTTCACTACACATCTGATCCAGATTTCAACACCCCTTTATTTTGGATTTAATTGTTTTTATATATATTTTTCTTCTTCTCATAACTTTGATGATAAAAGAGATACAAAAATAGTTAGAATATTTTAGGAAATATTTTTGGGTTCTCTTTAGAATTTTATTAGAATTTTCTATTATTTTTATGCTTGACAATCGTTTTTGTTGCCATTTTTTAGCTAAGATCTTGTGAGGGAATATTGATGTAACTTTCGCGATGGAGAATGCTCAGAGATTAATTTTTCGATCACTTGTGTGAAGAAGCTTTGGTAGAGTTTTCTTATCGCTTGCGTGCTTTGGAAGAGGCAACAGACTTTCTCCGTTCGATATCATCACAACTTTATTTTGTGCCTCATTTCCATAATTTATCGTACTTCTTTACCGCTTTTCTAGATATCATGAGAAGTAGGGCTTTACTGCTTTTTGATGCCATGAGAAGTAGCGTAAAGATGTATGACGGGGGTCTCCATTGTTGATCATGTCAGGATCCCCTCTGGTTTATTTAAAGACCTGTTTAGGGAAATTCTGCATTGATTGCCATTGTGTGCTACATGTGTGTGGTTTGTTTAAAACCCTGCCTTTGTGTAGGTAATTTGCAGGTGTATTTACATCTCATGCCCGCATTATTCTCCCATCCCTTATTGAAGTCCTCAAAAAGAGGCGAGCGGGGAGGGTTAGCAATTAACCCCCACAATTTCGTCTGTGTCATCCTTAGCTCGTGACGCACAACGAAGCTTCGGAGTTGTGCCCTCTCTTGTATATAGAGTCATCAAGTGGGGAAGGGTTCAGCAATCGAACCCTCACGCGTTGTTAGGAGTTCACATTGGCCGATGTTGATACTCCGTGATTGTTCATACTGTCTTATGTCGCTTACCTTGATCTCCTATTGGTTATGTGTTCAGTCGCTTTGGACATCACATTTTATTTTTTCATCTCACTCCCGCTTGTTTGTCTCGGGTGATACGCTCCCCTTGGCTAAATCATTTCTCTTCTTTTCATTACTCTTTGATGTGTGTGCTCTTTTGATCTTGCTTGTTTTATCCTTGTACATACCATGCTCCCTTAGGATATGCTCGCTCATTTTGAATGCAAGTTAGACCTTAGGTTGCAAACCATGCATGCTAACATTAGGTAGAGATTTCCCTTTCATCCTTGACATAGGGCTACCATTGTATGATAACATTATGTTAGAAATAGGTTAGTCTCCCTTAGACTCTTTTCTTCCCCTTTTGCATATGCATTCTAAAACTAAAACTTCCCTTTCATAGCAAATCATAAAACATGGTAATCATACCTAAACCCTTTTTCAAGGTAACAAAATACAAACCTACTCAAACCTTTTTTGTACGCTCAAGCACCTTTTCTCTAAAACCCTTTTCAGGTAAGGACATGATTAATTTACTTATGTGCCAATGCATAAGTCTCCAAAGGTCGAGCTGCGGCAGAAGGCGGAACTAACATTGTTCATAAAAAATATAAAACAAACAAAGACATGTGAGCCGAACTACGGTAGCTCTGATTCCTCAAAAAGGATACGTAGGCATTGGGGTAGAGCCCAAGCGAGTACAACTTTATTTTCCTTACATTCTTTTCTCCTTTCTTTTGCGTGCATTTTCCCTTAGTAATAAACAATAAGCATAGATTAAACACACCCATAATATAGATAACAAGAGTGGATACTGTAGAGGACTATGGGCGTGTGGGGTGCTAATACCTTCCCCTCGCGTAACAGACTCCCTTACTCAATCTCTCGATTGCAAGACCGTGACTTATCAATGAGCCATGGTAGCTTTGTTCCGTGACATGATTCACCATGAGATAGAGGTCTATGTTGATGGCATGATAGCCAGGTCTCAAACTGAGGAAGAGCACCTTGATCATCTACAAAAGCTGTTTGATAGGTTGAAGACGTACAAGCTGAGGTTAAAACCGAACAAGTGGACCTTTGGGGTAAGGTCTGGTAAACTCCTAGGTTTCATTGTCTGTGACAAGGGTATTCAGGTAGACCCTGCAAAGGTAAAAGCTATAAAAGAGATGTCGGCTCCTCACACTGAGAAGGAGGTTAGAGGTTTCTTGGGATGCCTAAATTACATTGCCAGGTTCATTTCCCATCTAACTGCTACTTATGAGCCAATCTTCAAACTCTTGGAGAAAGATCAAGTGGTAAAGTGGAATGACGAATGTCAGACTGCCTTCGATAGAATCAAGGAATACCTTTAAGAGCCTCTAATTCCGATGCGGCTGATTAATGGAAGACCTTTGATAATGTACTTAATAGTGTTAGATAATTCAATGGGGGGTGTGCCGGGGTAGCATGATGAGTCCGGTCGAAAAGAGCATGCAATATACTACCTTAGCAAAAAGTTTACCGACTGTGAAACAAGATACTCACTGCTCGAGAAAACTTGTTATGCTTTGGAATGGGCTGCTCGCCGACTAGGATAATATATGTTGACCCATACTACTTTATTGATATCTAAAATGGATCCGATCAAGTACATCTTCGAGAAGCCTGCTCTCTCCGGAAGAATAGCGAGATGGCAAATGATCTTGACCGAATACGATATTCAACAGACAACCCAGAAAGCAATCAAGGGAAGTGTATTAGCTGATCATTTGGCTCATCAGGTTGTGGATGACTACCAATCCATGAACTTTGAATTCCCGGATGAGAATATCATGTTAGTGACTGACAGTGAAGAACCTGGACCGGATGAAGGACCTGAGAAAGGATCCTAATGGACTATGGTTTTTAATGGAGCCTCCAACGCACTCGGCAATGGCATCAGTTCTGTAATCATATCTCCCGAGGGCTGTCATACTCCTTTCACTGCTAGATTATGTTTCAATTGTATCAACAATATTGCTGAGTATGAAGCATGCATCATGGGTCTCAAAGCTGCTATTGGCCTAAGGATCAAGTTCTTGAGCATTTTCGGGGATTCAGCCTTGGTAATAAGTCAAATCAAAGGGGAGTGGGACACGAAACACCCTAATCTCGTCCCTTACAAAGAACATGTGCTGACATTACTTCCACACTTTGAAGAACTCACCTCCTAACATTTTCCACGAGAAGAGAATTAGTTAACGGACGCGCTAGCTACTATGTCATCTATGTTCAAGGTCAGATGGGACAACGAATCTCCTCAAATCACTATTGAGAGGTTGGATGAACCAGTATACTACTATGAGATTGATACTGAAGAAGTAGCATACAAACCTTGGTTCCATGAAGTGAAAAGGTATCTTGAGGCTCAAGAATATCCTGAGGGAGCATCTGTCAATGATAAGAAGTTTCTGAGAAGGTTCTCCGCGAAGTTCTTCCTCAGTAATGGAATCCTCTACAAATGCAACCATGACTCTACTTTACTTCAGTGTATAGACAAGAGTGAAGCAAAGAGGATTATGGAAGATTTACATGAAGGTACCTTTGGCACCCATTCTAGTGGACACACCATGGCTAAAAAGATCCTACGGACAAGATACTATTGGTCCATTATAGAAGCAGACTGTTATCAGCATTCTCGAACTTGTCACAAATGCTATATCTATGCTGATAAAGTACATGTACCTCTGGTTCCCTTAAACGTCTTGACGGCTCCCTGTCCCTTTGCAATGTGGGGCATTGACGTGATCAGAGAGATTAGACCTACCGCTTCCAATGGGCATCACTTTATCGTAGTGGCCATTGATTACTTCACGAAGTGGGTTAAGGCTGCCTCTTTTGCTACTGTTACCAAGAATGTTGTGGCGCGATTCATCAAGCATAACCTTATCTATCAGTATGGTGTTCCAGAAAGAATCATCACAGATAATGGTACAAATCTCAATAATACGATGGTCACCGAACTCTGTAAACAATTCAAGATCCGAAATCATAATTCTTCCCCTTACCGGCCGAAGATGAATGGCGATGTTGAGGCTGCTAATAAGAATATTAAGAAAATCATACAGAAAGTGACGGTGACATACAAAGACTGGCATGAGATGTTACCATTTGCTCTTCATGGGTACCTCACCTCAGCATGTACGTCAACAGGGGCAACACCCTACTCTCCGGTGTATGGTATGGAGGTTGTCCTACCTATTGAGGTCCAGATCCCTTCTTTGAGAATCATGAGGATACAGGTTTAAATGAAGATGATTGGGTCCAAACTCGACTTGACCAACTGAATCTGATTGATGAGAAAAGGCTTATTGTCTGCCTGTCATGGTCAGATGTACCAAAAGCGAATGATCAAGGCTTTCAACAAAAAGGTCAGACGATCGATATATCAAGTGGGTGATCTAGTAATCAAGCGCATCATACTGCCACAAGGTGATCCCAGGGGCAAGTGGACTCCCACGTACGAAGGGCCATTTGTAACCAAAAGCATATTCTGCGGTGGAGCCATGATTCTGACCACCATGGGTGGTGACGACCTTCCTCACCCTGTGAATGCAGACATAGTGAAAAGATACTACGCATAAAAACAACCCGCTAGGTTGACTGGCCTAGGCAAAGATCAGGGCATCCCGACGAACCAAAAGGGTTCGGGCAAAAATTAGGGATAAATACAAAAAATCTGTACACCCGGCAAGTCGAAAACTTGAGAGGGCAGCTTGGGCAAAAAAGGGTATCCCGGTGGACTGAAAACCCGAAAGGGTGATCCAGGAAAAAGTTAGGGATTTAAAACTATGTCCCATTGGATCACCTTGCGACCAGACTTCAGTATCAACTATCAAGCTCAAACGGTACCAATCAATCCAGCCAGCTTCAGACAAGTAGCAAAGTGATGAGACGCTCAAGGACATAGGGGAAATAGAAGAATTGAAACTCAATGGGATTATTACACATAGCTATTTTCTCTTTGTACACTATTTTGTATAGTTTTCATTTTCACGACGTTCTCCTACTAGAACGTCAGTCTCTTTGTACAAAAATGCCTGTTATAGGCGAACTTCAAAAATCAATACAAATCATTTCTTTGAAAGTACAA